TTTTTTTATCCTCACCGGAGGACACCTTTCCATTTCTTGTTCAGATAGAGCGGGAGGGAGAGAGAGAAACATCAACGTGAAAGGGACACATCGAGTGACTGCCACCCGCACAACCCAACCAGGGCCGGGGACAAACTACAACCGAGGTACATGCCCTTAGCGGGAACTGAACTCAGGTCTCTCTGGTCCACAGGCCAACGCTCTAACCGCTGAGCCAAACCGGCCAGGGCTGTTTTGATTTTTTTTTAAATATGTTTTTATTGATTTTTACAGAGAGAAGATAGGTGAGGGAGAGAGAGAGATAGAAACATCGATGAGAGAGACACATCAATTGACTGCCTTCTGCACACCCCCAGTGGGGATGAGCCCACAACCCGGGCATGTGCCCTGACTAGGAATCAAACTGGTGGCCTCTTAGTCCATGGGTCATCACTCAACCACTGAGCCACACCGGTTGGGCTGTTTTTATTGATTTTTTAGAGAGAGGAAATGAGAGATAGAAACATTGATGTCAGAAAGATAAATTCATCAACTGTCTTTTGCATGCCCTCTACTGGGGATCAAGCCTGAAACCTGGGCAGGTGCCCTAACCAGGAATCAAACTGGGACCTCTTAGTCCATGGGATGACGCTCAATCCACTGAGCCACACTGGCTGGGCCTAGGCATGTTTTGATTTTTTTGCAGTAATTTTGAAAGTATTTTAACAGAAACACAAAATGATAATTTACAACTAAAGCACAATTTCATAGAAAAGACTGTCCTTTTCTAAAGTGGTGTATTTCACATTGGAGTCTACTGATTGCCAGAGGATCCAGAGCTTTATTGTCAGCATCTGAGATCTTTTTTTTTTCCTTGAAAAAAGTACCTTTCACTTCGTTTGCAAAATATTAAGTTTAATACTAGTTTTGGCAGAAGAATATTTTGCTTTGAGCTGGAGCTACCCGTTGTTTAGTTATAGGACCTTTTAGGACATCATTAGCACAGAAAACCCAGGAAACTGAGGGGAGGGCACAGTTCATCTCTTTTTTTTTTGCAGGGAACTGCAGACACTGCAGATGTCATGTCTGGGAACATCTGAGTTACCCCTTTCACACCCCCTTGGAATTGTCTCATTATTTTCTTGGGGAGGAAAGAAAATGCTACAACTAGAGAAATCGTGAGCTAACTTTTATTGCTTCTGCTGAGGACTTTCTGTCCTCCCTAGAAGGGCTCCTCACGTGGGGAGGGGAGCATCCTTCCCACGGATTAGCCATGGACTTGGCCAGTCCCACCATACCTTGGATGGTCAGTATCTGCAGGATATTACAGAGTAGAGCATACTTAAAATTTCCTACTAGCTCTCACAGAACTCACTATATCAGGAGAGCAGCAAGGGTCCAGTGGAACATTAAAATGAAAAGCGCAAAGGGGGAGATGCTTGAGAAACCTGTGTGCCTTTTGCAAAATAACATTTGTTCCTCCTTGAGGCTTAAGTTTTTGGCTTTAGACTGGAGAAGGGAGTTGGGGAAGGAAAGAGATACATGATATAGTCTGTCTGGGAGTGTGAGTAGGTGTGGCCTGTGTGCTCATTCCAGTTTTTGCCAACAAGATTGGCAAGACTGAGATGCATCCATTAGTATCCACTATCACCCACTCCATTCCCTTGGGGTTCTTTTCCTTCCTAAATGCAAAGGATAATAAGCCTTTCTGCTATACCCTAAAACATGAACACACCTCTCCTTTCAATGTGAAGGGTTTTTATTGTTAATAACTATGGGGACTGTATATCAGAAATGAATATAATATTGACTATAAACTGTAATTGATAAACATTTTTTTTTATCCTCACCCGAGGTCATTTTTTGGTATTTCGTTCAGATGGAGTGGGAGGGAGAAAGAATGAGAGAGAAACATCGACGTGAAAGGGACACATCAAGTGGTTGCCACCCGCACGACCCAACCAGGGCCAGGGACAAATGCAACTGAGGTACCTGCCCTTAGCGGGAACCGAACCTGGTTCTCTCTGGACCACAGGCCGACGCTCTAACCGCTGAGCCAAACCGGCCAGGGCTGTAATTGATAATTTTTTTTTTATCCTCACCCGAGGACATTTTTCGGTATTTCGTTCAGACAGAGTGGGAGGGAGAGAAAGGGAGAGAGGGAGAGAAACATCAACGTGAAAGGGACACAATGAGTGGCTGCCACCTGCATGACCCAACCAGGGACGGGGACAAACTGCAACCGAGGTACATGCCCTTAGCGGGAACCGAACCCGGGTCTCTCTGGACTGCAGGCCGACGCTCTAACCGCTGAGTGAAACTGGCCAGGGCTGTAAAAGATAAATTTTTTAAAATAATTTTAAAAATCACCATGGAGAAATAGTGGGGGAGGGGGAAACTAACATACTGAAAAATGAAGAAGTTACACAACTGACAAAGTTTTTATATTACTGAGCCCTCCTCTAGTTCCTAACCCACTCTGAGGTAGTAAATGCAAGTCCCCTTGTCTCTTGTTCTCAGCTTTTATTCCTGTAATTTGTATTTCTCAAACTCTACCTTCCGCCACTCTTTCCCTCTATGTTTTGGGCTCCCTGTGGGAAGTAACTGTCTGAGCTCTACTCGGTATTCTCAGTGCTTAGCACAGAGCATGGCACACAGGACTAACATATATTTATCATTTCCTATGTGCCAAGTAATACATGATGCTTTTACATGGTTATCTCACTCTTCGGATGATCCTTTGAGGTACTTACTGTTATTTCCCTTTTTTAGAGAAAGGAAACTGAGGCACAGAGGTAAAATAAGTGATTCATGGACACACGGCTGGTAAGTGGCAGAGCTGGGATTCAGTCCCAGGCAGTCTGACTCCAGAGCCCATACTCTTCTTTATCCTTAAAAAAATTTTTTTTTCTTTATTGATTTTAGAGTGAGAGGGAAAGAGAGACAGAAGCATCAACATGAGAGAACATTGACTGGCTGCCTCCTGCATGCCGCCTACCAAGACTTGGGCCCACAACCTGGGCATGTGCCCCGACTGGGAATTGAACTGGTGACCTATTGGTACATGGGTCAATGCTCAACCACTGAGTCACACCAGTCGGGCCAGAGCCCATACTCTTAACCACTATGCTAAAAACATTGAAATATTGGTTGAATATGTTAAAAGACCTCTTTTACCCATTTCTGACCCCACGACACCCTTTTCCTTTTTTCTCTAAAATGTCCCTTGTTCACCTAAGTGCTCTATGTTCCCTAGCCCAAACTTTCAACTATTCCTCGCATTTTACAATAGTTTGGTAACTGTTTTCATTGGGCCACTGTGTGTGTGTGTGTGTGTGTGTGTATTTTAATCCTCACCCCAAGATAGTTTTCCATTTATCTGCAGATAGAGTGGGAGGGAGAGAGAGAGAGAGACATTGACGTGAGAGACACATCAATTGGTTTCTTCCCACACAACCCCAACCAGGGCCAGGGACCAAACCGAGGTTCGTGCCCTTGACCAGAATCAAACCTGAGTGAGACTCTTTGGTCTGCAGGCCGAAGCTCTAACTGCTGAGCCAAACCAGCCGGGGTCCTAACCTCTTTAAATCGTTATCTTGCTGTGTGTGTGTGTTTATTTCTATTTCTTGCTTATTGATTGGTTTTAGAGAGAGAGAGAACCATCAATTTGTTGTTACACTTATCTATGCATTCATCGCTTGATTCTTATGTGTACCCTGAGTGGGGATTGAACCTGCAACCTTGGCATATCCAGAGGATGCTCTAACCAACTGAGCTACCTGCCAGGGCCTGGGCCAGTGGTTGTTAAAATTCTTTGAGTCTCAGAGCCTATAGAGAATTATATTGATGAAAGCTACAGATTAACATACACACAATTTTAGTGTACGAGGGGGAGAGACAAAAAGCACAAATCATCTCAAAACCACCCATAAATCCTCAGGTTCCCTTTCTATTATTTGTGTTGGTGGTGGTGGGAGTGTGAAAGTTGAAACTCCTTTAAGAGACTTACCAGGCAAGGTTTGCCTTTCTGGCCTCATATCCAGTCATACACCTTAAGTTTAGGGTTTATGCAATCAAGGTAAGCACTTTCCATCTTTAGGTATCTGCTTTTGAACTTCTTGCTACTTGGAATACTCTTCCTTCACGCCTACCTTACTCACTGTTCATTACTGGAATGTTACTTCTCAGGTGCCTTCCCTGACACCCCAACCCCCCAACCTCAGAGAAACCCCTTCACATGTGGGCCTGCAATCTATTAGATACTTATTACATAGCCATGATCACGTTATGTTAGTTGCTGAGGAGCCTGTCTCTCTCGATTTATCGTTGTGCTTCTCCGAAGCAGGGATGGTATGTCATTGATCATTGAATTCCCAATATTCTAGAACGTGCGTGACAACGTTTATTAAATTCGTTTGGCGGAACTAGGCTCTTACTCTGTGACCCGCAAGTTCACTGCAGGTTTGGAGACTAATATGCTTAGGAGAAACCTGAGCGACCAAAGTCCGCTGCGTGGGAAATCAGCCAGAGAAAGTGAGCTTGAGGACAGGCTTTGGGAGAACAGAAGAGACTCCAGCCGCTGGAGCTGACGCCGGGAGAGGAACGCTCACGCAAGCTGTCAGGGTCAGGAAGGAAGCCGCGCACTGCATGCTAGGATCTGCGCGACAGACGCCCCAAAGCACGCCAGGATTTGTAGTCCGGTCCCTTGCTGGGCACCCGAAACCAGTTACATCCAGCTACATTCAACCACGTCCTTACACAGGTAAGGTGCAGTCGTGATCGTCCAGCACATAATTACGAGGGTCTCTAGGGCGACTATATCTGGTAGTAGTCTTCAGAGCAAATCTCATTTTGGGGTAACCAGCAAGGCGAGTTAGGTACGACTAGGCTTGCGCTACGCTTGTGTTCCTGCGTACGCGCGCAGCGAGCCCCCGTCTCCACCCCTTTTCTGATGCGCCGGCGCTGCGTGCGCGCGAGTTGTCCTCGCGAGGCCTCCTTGAGCCGGGTGGCGCAAGCGCAGTGTCCCCGGGCCAAGATGGCGGCGCGGTGCTCCACACGCTGGTTGCTGGTGGCTGTGGGGACCCCTCGACCGCCGGCTGCAGCGGGGACAGGGGCCCGGCCGCCCAGGTGGGGCGTGGTGGGGGCGTCGCTGGGCCGCAAGCTGAGCGTTACTGCCCTCGTGCCTTCCCTAGGAGCTCGCGGCCCAGGGGCGCTACTGACATTGAGACCCGGTGTCAGCCTCACAGGTGAGGGCAGGCTCCGGCGCCGAGTCGGGGCTCCAGGGCCTAGAAGGGAGTGATTCACCTCGCTCCAGTTACGGGAGTAGCGGGGTGACGGGTGTTTTCCGATGTGTATGCGGAATTGGTTGGGGAGACGGGCAAGCAGGAGGCACAGATTCCTCAGTGACTACTCAGAAGAGGTGAACGAGGAATTGCTGCATGGAGCCCCGGCGGCGGGGGTGAAACGTCCCGTAGGCTGTGGACCTTCACCTCTGTCAACATTTCTGAAGGCCTTTTCCGGCCTGCGGCTGCCCCCTATCCCTATTCCTTTCTCTTTCCTACACTTTCTAGCCTGTAGCGGAAGGGAAGAGGTCACTGCCATTGGGTGAGCATCTGCTCTTGTGCCAGGCACTTTGTGCCTCATCTCACTTCACGGTAAAAACAACCCTGCAAAGTGGGAATTATCATCTCTATTTTAAAGAATGGTAAATTGAGGTTCCAGCAGAGGAACCGACCTGCGTAAGGTCATAAAGTTAGATTAATAAGAGTTGCCCCAAACCAGAGCTGTGCTTTCATAACTTTCACGCTTTCCACCACATAGTGTAAGTTGAAGGTTACAGTTAGTCTCTTTTAGAAGTCCTTAAGTTGGTTACTGTAATAAAAATGCAAACATTTATTGAGCACTTACTATGTAACAGACATGGACATTTTCATTTGATAGACACTGTTATTCCATTTTGTAGATTAAAAAAACTGAGGCTTAGATGTTAAACAACTTGTAGAATGTCACAAAGCTATAAAGTGTTAAAGCCTTGATTCAAAATCTGCTGCCTTTAGGTGCTTAGCCATGATAGTTTTTCATGTTGTGTGTTGTAGTTTCCATTCTTGTGACACAAGGAAGGAGGAAACATTGAGCAACATGTGCCTGAATTGTGCTGGTTGTTTGTGTCCCCTAGAATTTGTGCAAATGATATTTAAGCTATCTGTAACCTTACAAAGATGATTGGTTAAAGGGCCCTGACAAGATAATTTCCTATTGGGCTCCAGTTTTGTAATGATGTCATTAAAATATTAATAATTGTGACTACTTTGTACAATAAGCAAACTCACCTTCACCAGTGTGTGTGTATGTGTGTGTGTGTGAATTATTTCATCCCTTTGAGCCAATTTCCTTAATTGTGAAAATTATTCATTCACAGATATGTACTGAGAGCCTGTCAAATGCCAGCCACTGTTCTAGGTACTGGGGATATAAGATTGGCTTTGATTTTGATCAGGTGATCCCAATTTTTAATTTTGTTCCTGCCACCTGTATTTCCTCATGGGTGGAGCAGTAGTCTGCCCATTTCCTTGGGATTATTTGGAGTGGTGTCATTTTGTATATCTCAGATTAAGCAAAAGTGGTCATTTTTAGATTTTGCCAACATTTTCTTATGTGTAGCTAAATTTGTTCATATAACATTTGTACACGTTTGGGAAGCATTTTTTTTTTTATTCTTACCCGAGGACATTTTTCCATTTTTTGTTCAGCTAGAGTGGGAAGGAGAGAGAGAGAGAAACGTCGACGTGAAAGGGACACATCGAGTGGTTGCCACCCACATGACCATTCTAACCCAAGTACAAATTCTCTGCTTGTGATGTTGAACCTTTGCTACTGCCAGCCTCCTCATGGATTGGAGGGAGTAGGCAGGAGAGTTTGGAATGGGGAAGGGTAACAGCTCATTTCTGAGTGAAGAGGGGGTTGAGTACAGGAGCACTAGGAAACTAGCTCTAGTGTTTTTCTCAAATCTGACTGAAGAAAGACAACAGTGGTCTCCTACTGCTTCCACACTGTCTGCTTTTCATATTCCAGGAAGTCTAGGGTGCAGTTACAGAAACAAGTATTGGGGAAACAGACTGTAGATTTTCTTCCTGGTTCTGATTTTTAAAAAATTAATTTTAGAGAGAGAGAAAGAAACATCAATGTGAGAGAAAAACATTGATCAGTTGCCTCTGGTACACATCCCTACTGGGGATCGAACCCAAAACCTAGGTATATGCCTTGGTCAGGATTGAACCTGCAGCCTTTTGGTATACTGGACAACCAATGAGCCATCCAACCAAGGCTATCCCTTATCTTGACCCTTTCTTCCATATGCTGAACACCCTGGTTGTCTTTTGTGCTCAGATTAATTTTATTTTTATTTCTTTTGTTAATCCTCACCTAAGGATACTTTTCCATTGATCTTTTATTAGAGAGTGGAAGGGAGGGAGGGGGAGAGAGATACACATATAGATACATCCATGAGAGAGAGGCATATCGATTGGTTGCCTCTCGCAGGAGGTTGACTGGGGCCGGGGATCAAACCTGCAACCCAGATTTGTAAGCCTTTGACTGGAATCAAACTTCTGATCCCTTGGTCCATGAGCTGACACACTAACCACTGAGCCAGACCAGCCAGGGCCTCAGATTAATTTTTTAAGTAGTGTCTCAATCCTCCTTGTTTGTTTGTTTTTTGTTTTTAATATGTTTTTATTGATTTTTAGAGAGAGGAAGGGAGAGGAGAGAAACATTTGTGAGTGAGAAACATCGAACAGCTGCCTCCCATGTATCCCCTACTGGGGATTGGGCCTGCAACCTGGTCATGTGTCTTGACTGGGAATCAAACCCATGACCTCATGGGAAGATGCTCAGCTACAGAGCCACATTGGCGGGGCCTTGTTTATTTTGTTTGTTTGCTAGTTTGTTTTTGGGTTTTTTTTTTGAGAGCTCTTCCTCATGCAAACCTGATTACTTCCCTATTTAACACTTGCAGTGGCTTCCTATTGCCCTCAGGATAAAATCCAAACTCTTAGCATAGCTCAAAGGCCCTTCTGTTTATTTCTAGGCCCCATTAATAATCATTTCTAACCACCCCTCTGCCATTACCACACCACCATACACAGGCTGATGTAGATGCCGGTGTGGGTGGGTGTGTGCGTGTACGTGCACAGTCTCCAGTCTAGTACCTGCAATTCCTAAATGCACAGGAATGAACTACTCCCTCTAAACCAAAAGTGATCATAAGACTTAGTTACCAAACAAGGCACTTTTGAAAGTGAAAGGGGATGCTGTTGTAAATAATGCCAGGAAGACCCACGTAAATCTGGGAGGATTTAAATCCCTCCTTAGTCTACAGTTTAACAGCAGGAGCCTTAGAAGACCTTCCCTAATTTTTTTTTTTTAATCCTCATCCGAGGATATTTTTTTCCATTTATCTTCAGATTGAGAGGGACAGAGAGAAAGAAAGAAACATCAATGTGAGAAAGAAACATCGAGCCCTCGCCTGTTTTGCTCAGTGGTTAGAGCGTTGGCCCCGCAGATCGGAGAGACCCGGGTTCTTTTCCCGCTAAGGGCACGTACCTTGGTGGCAGTTTGTCCCCGGCCCTAGTTGGGGTTGTGTGGGTGGCAGCCACTCAATGTGTCTCTCTCACATTGATGTTTCTCTCTCTCTGTTCCTTCCTCTCTCCCTCCTGCTCTATCTGAAGATGAATGCAAAAATATCCTAGGTTGAGGATTAAAAAAGAAAGAAAGAAAGAAAGAAAGAAAGAAAGAAAGAAAGAAAGAAAGAAAGAAAGAAAGAAAGAAAGAAAAAGATTTGGTTGCTTCCTGTATGACCCGACCAGACCAGAGCTGCAGAAAGATCTGCAACTGAAGTATGTTCCCTTGACTGGAGTCGAATCTGAGACTTTGGTCTGAGGGCTGATGCTCTACCGCTGAGCCAAACGGCCAGGGCTTTTCCCTAAATTCTTAAATCGGGTTGCCAGTGGGGTGATTTTTACCCTTCAAGTGGTGTTTAGTAATGTCTGGAGATGTTTTTACTTGCCAGCTTGGGGGTGGGAGAAGGGATGGGTGGTACTACTGGTAACTAGTTGGCCAGGGGTGCTGCAATACATCCTACAATACATACTAGGTGTATATGCTAAGACCGCCATAACAAAGTACCATAAACTTGATGGCTTAAACAACAGAAACTTATTTTCTTTTTATTCTAGTTATGGAGGCTAGAAGTCCAAGGTCAGTGTTTTGTCAGGATTGTTTCAAAGCTCCTATCACCAAATACAATCACCTTCAGAGGTGCTGGACGTTGGGACTTCAACTTACGGGTTTGGAGATGGGGCTCACATTTTGGCCCATAATAATAGGACCGCTCCTACTTTCCTGCCCTTTGGAAACTGATTCCATCCTCCACTGTGAGGACTGAGAATCCCTGGTTAGGTGACCCTTTTGTGCACTTTCACTACGTGTGTATGCTTATATATCTTCACACATTGCCTTCCAGACTCCCCTATGGGACTGCTGAACTCCTTGAAGGCATTGGCTTTGACTCTTATACATCTTGTATCCTCAGTGCCTAGTATAGTGTTAAGATCTTGAATAAATGTAAGCTCCAGGAAGATAGTGCCTTTAAATGGCTTGCTGTCATATCCCCAACGTGAAGCCTAGTGCCTGATTGGTGCTCAGTATTTGCTGAATGAATAAATGGTAAATATTTGTAAGTATGTGCTGAATGAATGAATGAATGAATGAATGAATGAATAGTGAATACAGAAGCTTCTCTACAGACAAACATTTAACTTAAAAACCTGTAGCTACCTCATGATCTCATTCTTGACCCTCCTCTCCCTTGTGCCTTAACTCCTCCCCACAACTTTACTCCCCTTTCTTCCATTTGTCACAGGATGGGTTGAGGGTTAGGAGGCAGCACTGGAGATTGTAGAGCAGCTCCTCCAGCTTCACTTTGTGACAGTGAAGTTAGCTCTCTTCTTCATGCACAAAGGGCAGTTGAGTAGATGTGTCTGTTGGCCTTTCCTCCTAGCTGCTGATGCAAGAGACCTGAAAGGCAGGGCATATGGCTGCCTTTCTTTGCTTTGATTCCTTTCAGGTTGTCTCCTCTGCTAAACAGGTTCTGGCTCAGGGCCTTTAAATCTTGTGTGTTTGTATATGTGTATTGTTTTTAGGGGAGGGGTTTTCAATGCTTTTCTATCAGATTCTCTGAGGAATGTGTGACTCTAAAGACTGAGAACCATTTTGTTAACATAGTGGTTCCCAAACTTGAGCATTCAACAGGATCTTCACTTGGAGGATTGTTAAACAAGTCCTACTAGGACCCACCTCCAGAATTTCTGATTGAGGTGTGGGGTGGGGCCTGAAAATGTACATTTCTAACAGGCTGATGCTGCTGGTCTTGGGACTATACTCTGAGTGCCACCCTACCCTGTAAGCAGATATCCAAGGTTGATTGGTAGAAGGAAAGAACCTGGGGAGTTGTTAAGCATGGAGACAAAGTGTATGAAAATATCTGGCATGTGGTTGGTTCTCAAGCAGTGAATGGGAGCTAAGTCCCCCTTTTTTTTTTTTAATCCTCACCCAAGGACATTTTTCCATTTTTTGTTCAGATAGAGTGGAAAGGGGAGAGAGAGAGAGAAAAAAACATCGACGTGAAAGGGACACATCGAGTGGTTGCCACCCGCACGACCCAACCAGGGCCGGGGACAAACTGCAACCAAGGTACATGCCCTTAGCGGGAACCAAACCCGGATCTCTCTGGACCGCAGGCCGACACTCTAACCGCTGAGCCAAACCGGCCAGGGCACTAAGTCCCTTTTTTAAAAATTTGTTTTTATTGATTTTAGAGAGAGAGAAAGGAAGAGGGGGAGAGAGAGAGAGAAACATTGATGAGAGAGAAATAGTGATCAGCAGCCTCCTGCATGTCCCCCATGGTGGTCGGGCCAAAACTCTGGCATGTGCCCTGACCAGGAATCAAACCAGTGACCTTTCAGTGCATGGGATGATGCTCAACCAACTGAACCAGGCCATCCGGGTGCTAAGTCCCTTTTTAATTATCTCCAGGTAAAATCCCCCATCTGGGGTTCAGTTTGTTTGGTGAATAAATGGGGATACATCCGTAGTTTAATCCAGCAGGATCAGCCCCACTTAATTTTATATTGACATGTTTTATATTCTTTGTATACAGTGGCCCTTAGCCAGTTTGGTCTTCATTGGGCTTGGAGGAGAACAGACCCTAAAGTTGTGATCTGTTTGCTACTTCACAGGTATAACCTGGCTAGTTTACTCACAATTTCCTTTTGTTGAGCATATTCTCAGACTGATTTTCTTTCCTTTTTTCTTTTTTAGGAATAAAAAGTTACCCTTTTGTTTGTACTGCCTCTTTCCACACGAGCACCCCTTTGGCCAAAGAGGATTATTACCAGATATTAGGAGTGCCCCGAAATGCCAGCCAGAAAGAGATCAAGAAGGCCTATTATCAGGTATGTGTGGAAGTCAGATTTTAGAGACAAAATTCTAGAAGGAATATTAATCTAGTCTGCTACTGATCAGTGCGGTGTATATGCCCATATGTATAGGACATAGGCGGCTGACAGGATAGAATTATATTGTAAGATGGGCTTTGTTGGACTGTTTTTCAGTGTATGATGCTATCTATACCCATTAATGCTTCAGAAAAGAGGAGTCAGAACCAGAGATTTAAAAAATCTTTTTCCATAACTGTTTTTATACTTAAATTTATATTTTCTTTATTGATTTTAGAGAGAGCGAGAGAGTAAGGGAGAGGGAGAGAGGGATAGAAACATCGATGAGAGAGAACATTGATTGGCTGCCTCCTGCATGCCCCACACTGGGGATCTGGCCCACAACCTGGACATGTGCCCTGACTGGGAATCATACCGGCGACCTCTTGGTGCATGGGTTGGCACTAAACCACTGAGCCACACCAGCTGGGCTTTATACTTAAATTTATTCTGCACCATCTGAATCAGTAGGCATGCTTGTTTAAGTTTTAGGTAGTTATTCTTTGCATTTAGATAAAAGTTTATGTACTCAGAATTATTTTGTTTCTTAACTCAGAAAATGTGAAATTCCTATCATTGTATCCCAGAATTTATTAGTGCTGATTGGTATAGTGGCATGTGTGTTATCTAGGTCAGTGGTTCCCAGATTTTTGCTCTGATCAAAATTAAAATTAAAGTTAAAAGGGGGCACCAGTGTAGAATTGTCAGCTTTTGTATTTTGCCTAACATAGATATTAAAAATAACAAGTCATTGGTAAAAAGAAAGAGCATCTAAATACCATAAAAATAGGAAAGTCATAATATCAGAATAAAGAAGAGATCTTTAAATTAAATGCAATGTAAATACAAAAATATATTACCTTTATGAAAAATTTACTACAGGATTGTTTAAATTAAAAAAAATTTTGCCCTGGCCAGTTTGGCTCAGTGGTTAAAGCGTTGGGCAGCGAACCAGAGAGTCCCGGGTTCGTTCCCGCTAAGGGCATGTACCTCAGTTGCAGTTTGTCCCCGCCCCGGTTGGGGTCATGTAGGTGGCAACCAGTCATTTTATCTCTCTCACGTTGATGTTTCTCGCTCTCTCTTCCCCCTGCTCTATCTGAAGATAAATGCAAAAATATCCTCAGGTGAGGATAAAAAAAAAAAAAAAAAAAAAGTTTTTCGTGCCCTGACCGGTTTGGCTCAGCGTTTAGAGCGTTGGCCCATGGACCAATGAGTCGCAGGTTCAATTCCAATCGGGCACGTACCTCGGTCGTGGTTAGTCCCCGGCCCTGGTCTGGTCATGCAGGAGGCAACAGTCAATGTGGTCTATCACATCGATGTTTCTCTCTGTCTTTCTCTCTCTCTCCCTCCCACTCTGTCTGATAATAAATAGAAAAATATCTTCAGGTGAGAAATTAGAAAAAAATTTATTTGTGTGTGTGTGAGCAAAAACTTTGTCCAAGGCCAGAACCAAGTACTGATTAAGACCAGACCTAAATCAGCTTAAGGCTTGGATGACTACTTCCTCCTCTTACTTTTTAAAAAATGTACAGTTCATTGGTTTTTAGTATATTTAGAATTGTATAATCATCACAGTCAGTTGTAGAACATTTTCAACAACTCAGAGAGAGACCCCATACCATTAGCACTTACACCTCATTCTTTCTCCTCTGCCCTTGCAATTGCTAACCTGCTTTCTATCTCTATGGATTTGCCTAGTCTAGATATTTCTTAGAAATGAAATCATACAACATATGGCCTTTAATTACTGTCTTTTTTCACCTTAGCACCTTTTCAAGGTTCATCCATGTTGTAGCATGTATCAGTACTTCATTCCTTTTAATGGTCAAATAATAGTCCATTACATGGATATACTGCATTTTATTTATCCATTTATCAGTTGATGGATATTTGGATTGTTTTCACTTTTTGCTATTATGAGTAGTAGTGCTGTGAACATCCATGTATAATTTTTGTGTAGACTTATGTTTTCATTTCTCTTGGGTATGTACATATACATAGGAATAGAATTGTTGGGTCAAATGATAACTGTGCTTAACCTTTTGAGGAACTGCTAGATGTTTTCTTTTTTTAATCCTCACCTGAGGACATTTTTTTGTTTTTTGTTCAGATAGAGTGGGAGGGTGAGAGAGGAAGAGACAGAGAGAGAAACATCGACGTGAAAGGGATACATCGAGTGGTTGCCAGCCACAAGACCCAACCAGGGCCGGGGACAAACTGCAACCGAGGTACATGCCCTTAGCGGGAATCGAACCTGGGTCTCTCCAGACCTCAGGCCGACGCTCTAACTCCTGAGCCAAACCGGCCAGGGTGGAACTGCTAGACGTTTTCAAAGCAGCTGCACCATTTTACATTCTCACCAGCAGTGTATAGGTTTCTAATCTCTCCACATCCTGGCCAACATTGTCTTTTTCACTCTAGACACCCTAGTGGGTATGAAGTGGTATCTCTGTGGTTTTTGATCTGCTTTTCCCTGGTGGCTAATGATGTTGATCATCTTTCATGTGATTATCAGCCATTTGTTGTAAATGTTTTTCAGACTCTTTGCACATTTTTCTCTTTTTTTAAAAAAATTATTTTATCCTAGCCACCTCAAGGCTTTGTACACATTTGCATTTTTGGTTTTTAATCCTCACCCGAGGACATTTTTTACTTTTATCTTCAGATAGAGCAGGAGGGAGAGAGGGAGGAAGAGAGAGAGAGCGAAACATCAATGTGAGAGAGACACATTGAGTGGTTGCCACCCACATGACCCCAACTGGGGCTGGGGTCAAACTGCAACCAAGGTCGTGCCCTTAGCACGAACCAAGCCTGGTACTCTGTAGTTCGCAGGCCGATGCTCTAACCGCTGAGCCAAACCAGCCAGGGCCCTTTGTACATTTTTCTGAGTTAATCTTTTTATTACTGTGTTGTAATGGAATGAGCAAAGGCACTAGGGAAGAAAGCAGAGATACTGGCTTGGGAAGAGTTGAACAGTATATCTCTTTTGACCTGGAAGGTAAGGTACCTGATGCAAGGTTTGGAGAAGCTGGACAAGATGGAGGCTACAGTCAAATTAATGGGCATTTGAGGCCCTTAGCAAGTGCTAGAGACTTATTTTATTTTATTTTTTGTTAATCTTCACCTGAGGATATTTTTCCGTTGATTTTTAGGTAAGGGTGGAAGGGAGGGAGAGACACATTGAGTATGTGCCCTTGACTGGAAATTGAACCTGTGACCCTTTGGTTTGCTGGCTGACGCTCTAGCTGCTGAGTCTAAACGGCCAGGGCTAGAGACTTAATTTAAAAGAGAGTAGGGAACCATTTAAGGTTTTAGTTGTGGAAATAAAAAGATTATGTAAAGGTGTGCTATTTAAAACTGGAAATTTTTTTTTTGTTTTGTTAATCCTCACCCAAGCATATGTTTTCGTTGATTTTTATTTTTTTATTTTTTTTTATCCTCACCCGAGGATATTTTTCCATTTTTTGTACAGATAGAGTGGGAGGGAGAGAGAGAGAGAAACATCGACGTGAAGGGACACATCGAGTGGCTGCCACCCGCACGACCAACCAGGGCCAGGGACAAACTGCAACCGAAGTACGTGCCCTTAGCGGGAACCGAACCCGGGTCTCTCCGGACCGCAGGCCGACACTCTAACCGCTGAGCCAAACTGGCCAGGGCTGTCTCCGTTGATTTTTAGATAGAGTGGAAGGGAGGGAGGGAAAGAGAGAGAGAGAAATATCAATGTGAGAGAGACACATTGATTGGATGCCTTCTGCACGACCCCTTCCGGGGCTAGGGATCGAACCTGTAACCTAGGTATATGCCCTTGACTGGGAATTGAACCTGTGACCCTTTGGGCCACAGATCGATGGTCTAACCGCTGAGCCAAAACAGCCAGGGCTAAAACTGGAAATTTAAAAAAATTTTTTTTTTCTCAGATGGAGTAGGAGGGAGAGAGAGAGAGAGAAACATCGATGTGAAAGGGACACATCGAGCGGCTGCCACCCACACAACCCAACTAGGGCCTGGGACAAACTGCAACCGTGGTACATGCCCTTAGTGGGAACCGAACCCGGGTCTCTCTGGACCGTAGGCCGACACTCCAACCACTGAGCCAAACCGGCCAGGGTAGAAATTTAAAAATTTTTAAAGTTGCCTTTATGGAGCAGTTACTGGACTCAGACCTTGATAAAGCTTTGTATATGTTACATCATTTAATCTTCATAGCAAGAGGCTTGGTGAGGTTATGACATGCATCCAAGGCCACACAGCTAATATGCGACAGATCTTTCTGACTGTAAAAGGCCTATCTTCTTCTTGTGCTGATTTCATGTTTCAGCATATCTTGTCTTGGAGTTTGGGACCAGCCAATGGACAGACATATCTTGCGTTGGCATTGGAACCAGACTTGCCCACTGTAATCTACTGGCAGTGCTTGAGACAATCCCCCTCCCTTGAGAACTTAGCTCACAGCCTCTGACATGCTTCCATATACTGGTGTGAGGACCAGCAATTCCAGAAGCAGATTAAGTAGCCAGCTGCTGGCAATGATGGAGCCAGAGAGCCTCCCAAGTCACTGTCAGCTCTAGGATTCTGTTTCTGTGCACCTCCTTGCCCTCATGTAAGGGACCTGTGGTAATCCAGCAAACAATGGTGAACACCTACAAAGCACGTAGCACTACTCAGTGCAGCTAGAAGGTAGCTTTTGTTTTACAGCTGCTCAGCACACCGTGTTCTCTGGACAGCCAAGTGAGATTTAGTTTTGTTTTTAATATTTAAATCTGTGTTTTGAATAGTAGTATATTCCCCTTGTTCGGAATTCAGAAAGTACAAGGTAGTATACAATGAAGAGTCTTCCTCTTTTCTATTCATCCATATCTCTCCTATAGCAGTGTAATCAGTTTATTGTATGTTCTTCCAAAAATAATTTATATTCATCCAGTATTTTTCTCTCTTTTTACATAGATGAAAGAGTACCAGATACACTATTTTGCATCTTTCACAAAGGTGCCCAGGTTCTAAAGAATTAGTTGTTATTTTTGATAGAAATTTGTTGTGGTTGAAAAACATGTACATACCTCAGATTTGAAGAGATGGTTTATTTTGATATCTTAAGCCTTGTTTTATTGCTATTGTTTGTAAAATCTTAGAAAACTGCTATAAAGGAGGCAAAATTGTGACTGGTATTTGGGGTTCAATTTTAGTAATCATTTTGTGTCCATGGTAATTTATCATTTCCTCCCATAGCTTGCCAAGAAATATCACCCAGACACAAATAAGGATGATCCCAAAGCCAAGGAGAAGTTCTCCCAGCTGGCAGAAGCCTATGAGGTAACATAACCTCCTGGTGTGTGTGCAGTCACTGTCATTCAGCTGCACTCATGCATCAGAGTATGCTGCAAAGGGCAGCCTGATGTGTCATAAGGTCCAGTATAAAGGCTGTGTCCCTGTACCAGATCATCTCAGTAAAGGAAAAAGAGATCGCCAGGTCTCATACTAGATGTTACTTGGAATCTCAATGAAAAACAGGATCCAATTTGTATTAACAAAGCTTGGATTTCTAGCTAGGTTGGGGAACACCTTGTTGAATTAATTCCACACCTATTTCATCACCCTTCCTACTTAGGGCATTGCTTTCTGGTAGGGATGGTGGATCCTGTAAAAGTAGAAGACCACCACTGCCCTGGAGGAATTTAAAATGTAATCAGAGGGACAGAACATGCAGGAAACTACTGAAGAATTCTAGAGTTATTTAAAAGTGGACCTTCTTCCCAGAGTGACCATGCCGAAGGAATTCAGGATATGTAGGATATCAAATACCTACTCTGTGTGTGTAGATTTCCCCCAAAACTTTTGAGAGTAAGTCACAGACTTTGTATCTTTTTATTCCTAAGTATTTCTATATTTTCTAAGAATAAGAATATTCTTTCTCACAACTACAGAACAATTGTCAAAATCAGAACATTTACTGTTGATCATTGTTTATATTTGGTGTCTATGTCCCTGGGTCTTGGGAGAACTAGGGACACTTAACTACTGTGCCTTTTGTGGAAGGTGCTGAGTGATGAAATGAAGAGGAAGCAGTATGATGCCTATGGCTCCACTGGCTTTGATCCTGGGGCTGGTGGCTCTGGGCAGAGCTACTGGAAAGGAGGCCCCACTGTCGACCCAGAGGAGCTCTTTAGGAAGATCTTTGGGGAGTTCTCGTCATCTTCTTTTGGAGATTTCCAGAGTGTATTCAGTCAGCCTCAGGAGGTAAGCTCAATTTTAGCTGCTAAATGCATGATGCAAACAGATTTTATCAATTTCTGTTTCTCAAAGAAAAAGGCAGAGCAGCTTAAATGGAATGATCTGAAGGCAGCCATTTTGGTAAGAAATAATTCCAAAATTTGAAAAATTATATAGGTAATAATGTGTGCATCTGTTTTGACTTGAGTCTTGCAGTTGCTTAACTAGGCAGCACCTAAGGGTCTCAGAGTCCATTATTAGGGTGCATTTTGTCTACAGCTGCTACATTATTCCAGGAGAGCTCAATCCAGTAGGGAGACACTCCCAATCCTACTTCTTCTATATTTATGTCCAAATAAGACATTATCAGAGTGGAAGAGAGAGGGAGAATGTTTATGATTTAAGCTATGATTGTGGATCATTGAGCTATAAGGGCTGTATACAAGTATTATCTGTGAACAGTTGGTTGAAAAGTACATTTTTACTTAAAACAAACATTACCTCTTAAAAATCCTAAGGAGTAGGACATAAACAGGGGAGTCCCATCTATTCTTACTTGACATAGTATAGGTGAGTATTGCAGTTACAAAGTAAAGTAGGGAGGGAAGAGATGAATAGGCAGAGCACAGAGGATTTTTAGGGCAGTGAAAATACTGTGTGGTTTTATAATGATATATGCATGTCATTATGCATTTGTCTAGATCCATAGACTATACAACACCAAGAGTGAACACTAACGTAAACTGTGGGCTTTGGGTGATAAAGTGTCAATGTAGGTTTATCCGTGATAAAAAAATGTACCACTCTGGTGAATGATGATGGGAGAGACTGTACGTGGGTGAGGACAGGAAGTATGTGGCAAATTTCTGTACCTTCCTCTCAATTTTATTGTAAACCAAAACTGCTCTAAAAAAGTCTTTAAAAGTAAAGGAACTGCAAAGTGGTGGCTTGCACCATCCCCTACTTTAAGAAAGATGACAGGCCATTCCTTGATTTCTTTAGTACATCATGGATTTGACATTCAATCAAGCTGCCAAGGGTGTCAACAAGGAGTTCACTGTGAACATCACCGATACCTGTGAGCGGTGCGATGGTAAGGGGAATGAGCCTGGCACCAAGGTGCAGCACTGCCACTACTGCGGTGGCTCTGGCATGGTAAGAACGAATTCGAGTCACCCCTTCCTGCCCCCCCACCTTCCCAGGGACTCCCACCTCATGCCCACCCACACTTCCACCGCTTCTTTTCTCTATGCTTCTGTGAATATTTTTGTAGCAGTACGTAGGGCTTTGAGAATTCATAACTAGATGGGGCTATTTTATCTAGAACCTTTTGTATTTTTCCAGGTGTGTTCTGTCTCGGTCAACAATACAGACAGAGCAAAGAAACTTAGCTGCGTTCTCAAAAAATACACTTTGGGATATTTTGGTAATTTGAAACCAACTGGGGGTTGTCAGGGGACACTGCTTGAAGGGTAATCATTTTTTCTTTTTGATAACTTGTTGATGTAATTCAAACTTTTAGAACAGTATAAAGAACTACTCCTTGCCCTGGCCGGTTTGGCTCAGTGGTTAGAGCGTCGGCCTGCGGTCCTGAGAGACCCGGGTTCGGTTCCCGCTAAGGGCACGTACCTCGGTTGCAGTTTGTCCCCGGCCCTGGTCAGTTGTGCAGGTGGCAGCCACTCGATGTGTTCCTGAAACGTCGATGTTTCTCTCTCTCTCTCTGTTCCTCTCTCTCCCTCCCACTCTACCTGAACAAAAAATGGAAAAATGTCCTCAGGTGAGGATAAAAAATAAAAAAAAGAACTACTCCTTTAATCCATTTACCTGGCTTCACCAATTGTTAATATTTTGTCCTATTTATTTGTCATTCTTGGTGTGCTCATTCCCTCCCTCTTCTCTTCCCTGGGTATGTAATTCTGTTTGTTTGCCCATGCACACACCCATGCATGCACACACATTCCTCCAACCATTCGAATGAGAGTAAGTTGCAAACATTCTATTTCTTTATTCCTGCATACTTCAGTATGTACATGTTTTCTAAGAACAAGAACATTCTTTACATAACCACAGTACAGTTGTCAAAATCAAGAAATTTAATGTTGATACAATACTATTATCTGTTCTTTAATTCAATTGTCCTTACAGTATCCTTTTTTACCTTGGTTCAGGATCCATCTGGGATCTTGCATAGCACTTGCTTGTCTTATTTTTTGTCTCTAACTTTTTTTTTTAATTCTCACCTGAGGATATTTCTCTATTTATCTTCAGATAGAGTGGAAGGACAGAGGGAGGGAGGGAGAGAGAGAGAGAAAAACATGATATGAGAGAGACACATTGACTGGTTGCCTCCCATAAGGCCCTGACCAGGGCGGGGGATTAAACTGCAAGCAGGGTACATGCCCTTGACCAGAATTGAACCTGTGACTCTTTGGTCCATGGGCCGATGCTCTAAGTGCTGAGCCAAACTGGCCAGGGTATGAATTTTATTTATTTATTTTTTAAATACATTTTTATTAATTTTTAGAGAGTGAGGAAAGGAGGGAGAGAGAGATGGAAGCATTGATAAGAGAGACATTGATTGGCTGCCTCCTGCACACCCCCTACTGGGATCAAGCCTACAACCCAGGCATGTGCCCTGACCGGGAATCGAACCTGCAATGTATTTTATTTATTTATTTTCTTTATTGATTTTTAGAGATGAAGGGAGAAGGAGAGAGAGACAGAAACATCAGTGTGAGAGAACATCGATTGGCCTCCTCCTGCATGCCCCCCACGGAAATTTGGCCCACAATCTAGGCATGTGTCCTGACTGGGAATCGAACCGGCAACCTCTTGGTGCACGGGTGGACACTCAACCACTGAGCCACACCAGCTGGGCTATTTAATAATTTTTTGTTTTGTTTTGTTTATCCCCATTTGAGGACATTTTTTCATTTTTTGTTCAAATAGAGTGGAAGGGGGGGAGAGAGAGAGAGAAAGAGAGAGAGAGAGAGAGAAACATCGACATGAAAGGAACACATCAAGTGGCTGCCTCCCGCATGACCCAACCAGGGCCGGGGACAAACTGCAACCGAGGTACGTGCCCTTAGTGGGAACTGAACCCGGGTCTCTCTGGACCACAGGCCGACGCTCTAACCGCTGAGCCAAACCGACCAGGGCCTATTTGGTAATTTTAAAAAAATCCAAAGATTACCCTGGTTAGTTTGCCTCAGCAGTTAGAGCGTTGGCCATCGGACTGAAGAGTTGTGGGTTTGATTCTAGTCAGGAGCACATAAATTGGTTGCAGTTTGGTCCCCGGCCCTGGTTGGGGTTGTGCGGAAGGCAACCAGTCATTGTTTCTCTCCTTCTCTCTCTCTCCACTTTATCTGAAGATAAAAGGGGAGAAAAAGTATCTTCAGGTGAGGATTTAAAAAAATCCGGAGATATTAGGTTAAATAAAATGCCAAGTGAGGAACTAATGGGAGTGGCCACAAATCATAAGTCTTCACCAGCCCTTGGTGGAGCTGGGGAGGCTCCTGAAGAATTGGGGGATTGCATAAGGGGGAATAAGGGAAAAGACATTCCAGGAGGAGGAGCCTGAGGAGCACTAGTGCCTACAAGAGGAGCTGCTGGCCTCATAGCTCCTGGGTACCCATGCTAGGGGGTGGGAACAGTGGGATGGCACCCTGTGTTCAGGGGAGTTTATAAAATCATCCCAGTTCTTCCTGTATGGCCTTAAGGGGACAGAGAGGCCTGTGCTACTCCTCCCTTGGACTGGGCAAAATAGCAGGCTTGCTGACCAGACTGACAGCTCTGGGTGTGAGATTGCATTCAGTTATCATTTTTTCTTTATTTTCTTGTTTTTCCCAGCTATCAGTTTTGTAATTAGAGGTGGAGTACTCTTTTTAAAATGTATTTGCTTGGGATTGAGAGGTCCCCATTTGATTCCCAGTCAGGGCACGTGCCCGGGTTGTGGGCTTGATCTCCAGTAGCGGGGTGTGCAGGAGGCAGCTGATCGATGTTTCTCTTTCACATTGATATTTCTATCTCTCTCTCTCCCTCTCTCTATAACAAAGTGAATAAGAAACAAAACAAAACATTAAAATGTATTTGCTTAGTTCCCAGGGGTTTTAGGACCTTTTATAGAAAGAGACAGTATTTCACTTTTCAGTCTCTTGTAATCAATTTGGTGATTAGGAATTCAGAAGTCAGTGGGTTCTAGAAGCTCAGATTAATAGCTTGAGCCCGTGCACCTGCACCTGTGTTCTCAGGCAGTATGTTTTAGTGCATATGCACGCAGAACATGTCTCTGTTTTAGAGAGAGAAAATCATCTTCTACTTATTTTTGTTTATTGTATTTTTTAAAATAGATTTTTAGATAGGAAGAGAGAGGGAGAGATAGAAACATCAATTGGCTGCCTCCTGCACACCCCTCACTGGGGATCGAGCCCACAACCTCAGCATGTGCCCTGACTGGGAATCGAACCAGCGACCTCTTGGTGCATGGATTGACACTCAGCCACTGAGCCACACCAGCTGGGCTGTTCCACTTACTTATGTATTCATTGGTTGACTCTTGTATGTGTCCTGACTGGGGATCAAACCTGCAGCCTTGGTATATTGGGACAATGCTCTAACCAACTGAGCTACCTGGCCAGAATAGAACAAGAATCTTTAATGAAACATATGTGCATATTGTGGTCCCAAAGTCTTGGCTGTCAGAGTTTACCTTTGTACTTAGGGGTTCCATTTTTCTTCTCCTTTTTATCAGGAAACCATAAATACAGGCCCTTTTGTGATGCGCTCCACGTGTCGGAGATGTGGTGGCCGAGGCACCATCATCACTTCTCCCTGTGTGGTATGCAGAGGATCAGGACAAGCCAAGCAGAAGAAGAAAGTGGTTGTCCCTGTGCCTGCAGGTGTGTTCTGGGCTTCTCCACACACATGGGACTGAGAGCTGAGTCATTTCCTTGTGATTTGGCTGTTGTAAGAGCCAATATTAAGGCCCTGAAGCCCTGGGCTGGAGGAGGAGCCAGAATCTCCTTGCATTTTTCTCTTTGCACTAGTTATCCTTAAAATCTACACTTATACCCTGATTGGTTTGGCTCAGCAGTTAGAGCATCAGCCAGCCCATGGTCCAAAGGGTTGCAGGTTCGATTCTGATCAAGGTTGTATACCTGGGTTGCAGGTTCAATCTGGAGCCCTGGTTGGGGTCACGCAGGATGCAACCAGTAAATGTGTCTCTCTCACATCAATGTTTTTCTCTCTCTCTTCCTCTCTCCCTTCCACTCTATCTAAAATCAGTGGAAATGTCCTCCAGTGAGGATCATGAAAAAAAACCTACACTTACGTGTTGCTTTGGGGAGAAAGTACCTGACATGTTCACTCTTCCCCATGCACGGTGATGGAGCTCCTTCATCATCTCTGTTTTTGGTCCATAAGGCCAGCGTTGTTTGCACTGATAGCCCAGTTTGCACCACCACCCCTCCACCTGTACGCCAGTGCAGCCTGTGACTGCTCTCCCTAACGGCTCTTGTTCCCAGGGTGCTCTTTGTGCAGGGCAGTCTGATCAAGCTACTCGCCCCGTTGGAGACCCAGCGGTATCTCTCAGGAGACAAGAAAAGGTTTCCTGTCTTAGCCTCTCTAGTCTCCCTTCTTATTAGCCTTACCGACTTCCTAATAGTTCCTTGAATGGGACATAATGCCACCCAGAACAGAGTCTTTGCATATACTGTTCCCCGTGTCTGAAACTTGTCTTCTACCATTCTTTCAGCCGTCTTATGGGCTTTTCCAGGGAAGCCACCTGAAACCCTTTCTGTTCCTTAGATGTACGTTAGTCTGGACTTGTGACTTTTTCCTTCTGAGAACATGGCTCTGTTTGTAATGACACATTTTTAGTATTGTTGTTTGACTACTATTCGCCTCTGCTACTGGACTGGACATTCCCCAAGGTACTACGTGGGTCTGGTAAGAGTCAGGTGTTCAGCAATTTGAATTAAATAGAAGGTGCCTTTATTCGGTTATGAGTTATTGAATGGTGCACCTTTGAAAAGTCATACTTGTGCCCTGGCCAGTTTGGCTCAGCGGTTAGAGCGTCCACCTGCGGTCCGGAGAGACCCGGGTTCGGTTCCCGCTAAGGGCATGTACCTCGGTTGCGGTTTGTCCCCGGCCCTGGTTGGTCGTGCGGGTGGCAGCCACTCGGTGTGTCCCTTTCACGTCGATGTTTCCCTCTCTCTCTCTTCCTCTCTCTCCCTCCCACTCTGTCTGTACAAAAAATGGAAAAGTGTCCTAGGGTGAGGATAAAAAAAAAAAGTCATACTTGTTGCCATATTGAATAACTGTGGTATTCTTTATTAATAAAAAACAAGAATGAGCAAGGAACTTGGTGACTTGAATTCGGAGTAGAAAATGTGTTGGGAAATCTGCAAATAGTCATTTTATGAACTTTTCTCATTCATAGGAGTCGAGGATGGCCAGACTGTGAGGATGCCTGTAGGAAAAAGAGAAATTTTCATCACATTCAGGGTAGGTGCTCTGCTGCCAAAGCCTCTGTTGGGGCCTTGCTGTCTTCGAGAATATGCAGCCAAGGCTTCTGGTGGAGAGAGGTGGGAGCTTGATGGGGCATGTCCTGCCATCCACGTTTCTAAGGGGAACAGTTGCCACCTTGGTGGGGTTATTAAATATGTTACCATCGTCCAGCTGGTGTGGGTCAGTGATTGGGCGTCAGCCCATGCACCAAGAGGCTGCTGGTTTGATTCCCAGTCAGGACACATGCCTGGGTTGTGGGCCCAGTCCCTGGGGGGAGCATGCAGGAGGCGGCCGGTTGATGTTCTCTCTCATTGATGTTTCTATCTCTCTCTCCCTCTCACTGTAAAATCAATGAAGGAAAAAAAAATTTTTTTAAATATGTTACCATCAAGCTTTTGTGCTAGGTGTGGAGAGAACAGAATTGCTTCAAAATGTTTACAAGTTGGAAACCAAAAACAGAATTACAGAAAACATCTTCCTGTGTTTTTATTTATGTATTAAATTGTTGGTAGGGACAAAAACTGTGCCAAAGGAACAGTTTTACGTACTATATACAAGGGGCAAACCTGGTTTTCTGAGATAATTGAAACCTTAAAGGAGATAACGGCTTCTACTGGCAATTCCACCAGATACATACCTGAGAAAAGCCCACACAGGTGCAGCAGGCAGAGACACAGGTGTGTGTGACAGCCTCATTCGTAGTAGCAAGCCACTGACAACAACCTGCTGTCCTTGGAGAAGAGAATGGCAGGTGAACCATGCTGTGGTCACAGAGGACTGCTGAGCAGAGGGAAGAAACTGGACCACATGTGTAAGAGACTCCTCAGTTACAGAGAGGAGGGAAAGAAAGGTTGCAATTGGATGCAGGAAATATCATTTATATAATCTTTTAAACCACTTGAGATGGTCCTGCCAGTGTGACTCAGTGGTTGAGCATTGACTCATGCACGAAGAGGTCGCCGATTCGATTCCTGGTCAGGACATGTGCCCAGGTTGTGGGCCCAATCCCCAGTGTAGGGCATGCAGTAGTCGGCCAGTCAGTGTTCTCTCTCTCTCTCTCTCTCTCTCTTCCTCTCTCTCTAAAATAAATAAAGGAAAATAAAATTTAAACCACTTGAGATGATGTTTTATATTAAGGACATGTAAGTATGTAGTGAAAGTTAAAAGATGGCCCTGGCTGGTATGGCTCAGTGGTTGGAGCATTGGCCTACATGCCAAAGGTTCAATTCCCAGTCCAGAGCATGTGCATATACCTGGGTTTCAGGTGCGATCCCTGGCCCCGGTCAGGGTGCATGCGGAAGGCAACCAATCATTGTGTCTCTCTCACATTGATGTTTTTCTCTCTCTCTCCCCCCCCTCCACTCTCTAAAAAAAAAAAAAAATTCAATGGAAAATATATCCTCAGATGAGGATTAATATCAACAGAAAAAGGATACTTGTACGAATGATAAATACTAAATTCAGCGATGTTAACTCTGGAGGAGTGAGGAGAAAGCAAGGAGACTTCACCTGCATTCATAACATCTTATTTGTAGTATTATTTTATTTACTTTGCAGTTTATATGCATGTGAAATATCTCATAATTTAAAACAGACAAAAATAATTTAAAGGGTGAATATTCTAGACTGAGAAATCAAAGACAAAGACAGCAAGTTGGAAGCCAGTTGATAAGAAAATTTGGTAGAGAATTCAGATTCTGTTCCTATCTAATAATAGAGAAGAAAAAATTGAGAGAGAGAGAGAGAAGAAATCACCTGAAGGCAAGGAATATCTCTGAGATACAACAAACAGTGCTTATAAAATCAAAATCTAGTGTTATCCATCTATCTTGAAGGTAGCTTGTGACAAATGACTATTTGGAAAACGAGTTTTGCCTTTGTAGATATATTAGTCTGTGTTCCTCTTTATTTTCTAGTAAAGTAAGATTTTTTTTTTTAATGTTCAAAAAGCCAATTTTACTTTATTTCTGTTCACAATTGAACAGCTTGATCGGAGCCTGAGGAAATCTAGGCACTCTTGCATTGCAGTGTAGAAATGTGTCTGATGTGTAACTTGGGTATAGTGTTTCACTTTGGTGAAAGTAAGTTCTTTTCCTCAGTGCTACGCTCCAAGCTTACACAGTGTAACATTGTTAGGTCCTGAGCTTGGGCTGCTGAGACAGGCTGATGTCCAGCCTCCAGAAGATCTCTCTGTGTATAATGCCCATCTCTTGTGTTTGGCCCTAGGTACAGAAAAGCCCAGTGTTCCGGAGGGACGGTGCAGACATCCACTCTGACCTCTTTATTTCTATAGCTCAGGCTATTCTCGGTGGGACAGCCAGAGCCCATGGCCTATATGAGACAATCAATGTGACGGTAAGAGGGCAAGATTATCTTTGCCACCCTCCTGCTTTATTGCTTTTTTTGTTTGTTTTCCATGAAATGGAGAATGGCTGACAAGTGGCTCGAATCTGTAAACAACCAACATGTTGGGGATTCAGGCGAGATGAGGTGTAAGGGAGAAAGGAGGAATGTCTGGCCATTCCTTGAGTTTCAGTCACAAACTGTAGGCTTGAGTGTGTCATCACCAGGGACAGTAATTCCTGAGTCACATTCCCTCCTTTGCTGGGCCATGAAGCAGCCTCAGCATCATGCCCGTGTTGGTTTTGCCTCTCTTCAGGTCTGGCTCTCCATGCTCCCTCCCTTGGCTCACCTGTCCAAACCACCTGCCCCTGCATCCTTATTACTGGCTCTGCACAGGGTGGACCCCAGCTTAGCCAGTTTTCATGTAGTTGTTGGTGGACTCTGTCTAGAAACCCAAATGGGCAACTGGAGACTAAGGAAAACCACAGTTTTCCTTTCCTTATAGATCCCCCCTGGGATCCAGACAGACCAGAAGATACGGATGAGTGGGAAAGGCATCCCCCGGATTAACAGTTATGGCTACGGAGATCACTACATTCATGTCAAGATAAGAGTTCCAAAGTAAGTGCCCACTTAGCCACGGCGAGACCCTTGGAATCCCTGCACATTTACACCATCAAGTAGGGGCCAGCAGAGGGCTTTTTACCTTCCAGGTCCTATGCTGAGTGTGGCAGTGTGGTGGTTTAGCACCACCAGACCACCTGGCCCCATTGTGGCTCTGCCACTGGAAGTGCTGGGGCTTAGGCAGGTTACTTCTTTGGTTTTTTTTAAATCCTCACCTGAGGATATTTTTCTATTTATCATCAGATAGAGTAGGAGAGAGGGAGGGGGAGGTAGAGGGAGAGGAAGAACAAGAGCGAGAAACATCCATGTGATAGACACATTGACTGGTTGCCTCCTGCACAACCCAACCAGGGCTGGGGATGAACCACAACTGAGGTATGTGCCCTTGACCAGAATCGAACCCGAGACTCATTGGTTCAAGGGCAGACAGGTTACTTTTTTTTTTTTAATCCTCACCTGAGGACATTTTTTCCATTTTTTGTTCACATAGAGTGGGAGGGAGAGAGAAACATCGATGTGAAAGGGACATATCGAGTGGTTGCCACCCGCACTACCCAACCAGGGCCGGGGACATACTACAACTGAGGTACGTGCCCTTAGCGGGAACCGAACCCGGGTCTCTGGACTGTAGGCTGACACTCTAACCGCTGAGCCAAACCAGCCAGGGCTACTTTTTTTTCTTTAAAAACGGAGAGTGAGAGAGAGATAGAAACATCAATGAGAGAGAACATTGATTGGTCGCCTCCAGCATGCCCTCCAACCGGGGATTTGGTCCACAACCTAGGTATGTGCCTTGTTTGGGAATTGAACTGGCAACCTCTTGGTGCATGGGTCAATCAATGCTCAACAATAGAACCACACCGGGCCAGGCCAGGCAAGTTACTTTTTTTTTTTTTTAATCCTCACCCGAGGACATTTTTGCATTTATCTTCAGATAGAGCTGGAGGGAAAGAGGGAGGAAGAGAGAGAGAGAAACATCGCTGTGAGAGAGAGAGACATAGAGTGGTTGCCACCTACACAACCCCAACCAGGGCCGGGTATAAACTGCAACTGAGGTACGTGCCCTTAGCGGGACCGAACCTGGGACTCTCAGGTCTGCAGGCCAATGCTTTAATCACTGAGCCAAACCGGCCAGGGTGGCAGGTTACTTCCTTAAGTCAGTGTGTCCTGCCCAACTTTTCCATCTGCAAGGTGGATATAATTTAAAAGGTTGACTTTGCCTGGCTAGTGTAGTTCAGTGGTTGAGCATCAACCCATGAACCAAGAGGTCCTGGTTCAATTTCCAGACTGCATGCCCAGCTTGCAGGCTTGATCCCCAGTACGGGGGGGTGCAGGAGGCAGCTGATCAATATTTCTCTTTCATTGATGTTTCATCTCTCTCTCCTCCTTCCTCCCTCCCTCTCTAAAAAGCAATAAAGCTTTTTATTTTATTTAATATGTTTTATTGATTTTTTTTTTGAGAGAGAGAAACATTGATATGAGAGAGAAATGTTGATTGACTGCCTCTTGCACACCCCCTACTAGGAATCGAGCCCGCAACCTGGGCATGTGACCTGACTGGGAGTTGAACCAGGGCCTCTTGGTTCGTGGGTCGATGCTCAACCACTGAGCTACACTGGCTGGGCCAATAAAAGCATTTTAAAATAAGGTTGATCTCCTTGATTTGGAGTATTAAATAAATAATACATAGGGAATGCTTAGCTATTGCTGCTGTTGATTTTTTATTATTGCTCTCAGGGTGCTCACAGTCTGGTGGGAGAGACAGATCTATAACCAGATCATGTCACAGGATGTCTGTGTCCCCTGGGAGAAAGGTCCGACCAGAGTGCTATGGGCATCCAGAACAGGCATGCCGACTTGGTTTGGGAGAACTGGATTTCCAGCATTCCTTTTAATTTTCTAATTTCCTACACACACACTTACTTATAAAAGCTTGTTTTTCTCTCCCAATAAACTATTTAGCACAGCCACAGTGGCAGTTGTTTAAAACTTAGGGTATTTTAGAAGATTTTGTTTTTTAATCCTCACCCAAGGACATTTTTTTCCCATTTCTCTTCAGATAGAGTGGGAAAAAGGGAGGGAGTGAGGGAGAGAGAAACATTGATGCGAGAGGGACACATCGACTTGTTGCCTCCTACACAACCCTGACCAGGGCTGGGGACAAACAGCAACCGAGGTACATGCCCTTGACTGGAATCAAACCCACGACCCATCAGTCCATGGGCCTACGCTATAACCTTTGAGCCAAACCAGTCAGGGCCTAGGGGATTTTTTTTTTACAGAAGCTTTGAGGTCATGGCTCTTCGCATCAGGTTGTAGGCTATGCCTGGGTCAGGGGTCTTACATTTCCCACGTTGGTCCAGGCCTCATCCTTTAAAGAGCTGCCCAGAGGAAACACTTTGCACTGGCTGTGCTTGCTCCACAGGAGACTGACAAGTCGGCAGCACAGCCTGATCCTGAGCTACGCTGAGGATGAGACCGATGTGGAGGGGACAGTGAATGGCGTCACCAACACAAGCACTGGTAAGGTGGCATGACGGCACATGGGCATCCTCTCAGTCCCATAGAAGCATGTTGTGGTTTCCACTTGGGGATCTTCATGGAACATCCCGAGAACACAGTAGAAAGAGGGGAGCTGAGGGTTTGAAACAGCCAAGTGTAACTGCAGTCCAGAGCACAGCTGCTCCTCATTCCTCTGTTAGAGAATACTGGATTGCTTCCTGCCAGATAGCAGCCCTGTTTCAGAGAACTGCTCTTCTGAGTTCTATCCTTGGTTCTGCCACTTGTCTTGTGATCTTGGGCACATCACCACATGAAAGTTCCTTGTAACAGCTTAAGAAGGTGGATTGGAAGGCTTTACTCATTCCTGACCCAGAATGCTTCACCAAAATTGCAGTGTTTAGTAAACAGCATCTTCCACAGCAATAAAAACCACGGTCACATGACTCCAAATCTGCCTATTTCCAACAGGTCTAACTTTGAATTCCTCTGGCAATGAACAGGTGCCTTACTTAACCTGAGCTCAAATGTCATGCTCTGTGTACAGAGTGTAGTTAAATATTAGTGATATTTGATACCAAAATGCTTGTGGGCAGAAGCTTTGGTCATGGGAAACCTCAGCCACAGTCCTGTTCCCATGGGAGGAAGGAGGTTGCTCTGCTGTGGAGATGCTGGTTCACTGTTGGTGGATGACTGCTGGGTCAGTACAGGCTTTGTTGAGAATGTAATTGGCTTCAGCTGCACAACATGTTTCCTCATTGTTGTATCATTTTTTTTTTTTAATCTGGGTCCTAGATGCTCCTCTTGTGTTCAGAACTTGAATAGGTTTATATATGGTCATTCAGAGCAGGTGTTCAAAGCAGGGGGTAGATTCTCAGTATAGTGGGGGGCTTGCTGTTGGTTTCTCACTCCTCACCCCATCTGGCAAGGAGGGTGTTTCAGCAGCAGTAGCCTTTGCATGGAATTTGTTGAACTGTTGAGTCCAGGGTACGAAGTTTTGTGTGAAAAAGTAGCCACCACAAATCCTGTCTGTGGCCTCACCAAACATGGATTAGGGACTTGTATTTTTGTTGTTGTTTTTTAATCCTCACCCAGGGATATTTTTCCATTGATTTTCAGATAGAGTGGAAGGGAGGGAGGGAGAAACATCAATGTGAGAGCAACACATTGATTGGCTACCTCCTAGAGGACCCGAACCAGGGTCAGGGATTGAACCGCAACCGAGGTACGTGTCCTTGACTGAAATTGAACCTGTGACTCTTTGGTCCTTGGGCGGATGCTCTAACTACTGAGCAAAACCAGCCGGGGCTAGGTAATTGTTTTAATTTTTTTTATCCTCACCTGAGGACATTTTTCCATGTTTTGTTCAGATAGCGTGGGAGGGAGAGAGAGAAACATCAAAGTGAAAAGGACACATCGAATGGCTGCCACCCGTACGACCAACCAGGGCCGGGGACAAACTGCAACCAAGGTACATGCCCTTAGTGGGAACTGAACCCGGGTCTCTCAGGACCGCAGGCCAACGCTCTAACTGCTAAGCCAAACTGGCCAGGGCTAGGTAATTGTTTTAAATGGTTTGGTACATATACTTTTCTCTTATTTTCTTGTTATATCCTTGAGCAACAAAGAAATGGGAGTAGTGAGAATAGTTATTTCACACAACAATGTGTACTTCCAGCTTCTCTTTCTGAATCCCAGATGTTACCACAGTCATGTAGCATGTGAGATTTGTTAGGCAGATAGCTCTCAGCTGTATTCCTCCTCTCCCCACCCATCAGGACTTGAGATCTCAAGGACATGGGCCTTGTTCACTGTATTAGAATGCTGGATATTAGTAGTCACCAGTTGTGGCTTTTTAAATGTTTTTATTGATTTTTAGAGAGAGAGAGGAAGGAAAAGGGAGAGAGAGATAGAAGCATCAATGAGGGAGAAACATTGATTGGCTGCCTCCTGCACGCCCTTCACTGGGGATTGAGCCCAAAACCTAGGCATGTGCCCTGACCAGGAATCGAACTGGTGACCTCTTGGTCTGTGGGTCATTGCTCAACTACTGAGCCACACTGGCTGGGCATCAGTCATTTTTTTTAATTTTTTAAATTTAACTTTACAGTTGATCATATAGTCAGCTTCTGAGGGTCCTTAGAACCCTCATTATTATCATTTTTTTTTTAATTAAATTTTGTTGTTATCCTCACCTGAGGACATTTTTTCCATTTTTTGTTCAGATACAGTGGGAGGAAGAGAGAGAGAGAGACATCGATGTGAAAGGGATATATCGAGTGGTTACCACCCACACGACCCAACCAGGGACAAACTGCAACTGAGGTATGCGCCCTTAGTGGGAACCGAACCCAGGTCTCTCTGGACCGCAGGCCGACACTCTAACTGCTGAGCCAAACCTGCCAGGGCGAACCCTCATTATTTTCATGGTTCCTTGTCTTGATAGCTAATTCACTCTTTCCTCATTCAGCCAGGATTTATTGGAAGCTTCCTATGTGCCTGACACTTAGGCAGTTCGTCCTTTAAAATTTATATTGCTCTGGCCAGTTTTTCTCAGTGGTTAGAGCGTCATTCTGTGCACCAAAGGGTTAGATTCCCAATCAGGGTACATACCCAGGTTGCGGGTTCAATCCTGTTGGTATGCATGTGTTAGACAACCAATCGATGTTTCTGTCTCCCATTGATATTTCTCTCTCTCCTTCTCCCTTCTTCTCTCTCTTGAATCAATGAAAAACATCCTTGGGTGTGGATTTAAAAAATTTTTTTGTTGTTGACATAATTTTACTGAGTCTAGCTTAACTTTAATATATGTATTGGGTGTATTTCTGGAAAGTTGTTTATAAAGTAAAATGGGTATGCCAAATTATATCTTTTTTATTCCCATTGTCATTTCAGAGTTGTATTCCAATGGGAAATTTGGCTCCCAGGCTTAATTTTTATTTTTATTTATTTACTTATTATTTATTGATTTGTTTTAGAGAGAGAAGGAGGGAGGGAGAGAAAGAGAAATATCAGTTTGTTGTTCCACTTATTTATGCATTCATTGGTTGATTCTTGTATGTACCCTGACTCGGGATCAAACCCTTAACCTTGGCCTATTCAGGACAACACTCTAACCAGGTGAAATACCCAGCCAGGGCATAAATGGCATTTAGGAATCTTAGAATTGACTTCAAAGAATGCACTGTCAGTCTGCAGCTGGGTCTAGTTAAGCCTCCATTTACACTGCAGTCCCCATAGGAAAATAAGACAGTATATGTAATTCCCATTTCCTGATAACTTCATTAACAGTGGGTCCTGTTTATTTCAGTAGCATCTCAATCTCCTTTATTTCAAGCATTTAACAAAAAGTATTCAAGTCATATAGAAGCAGTTGTGTTCAGTTATCAGTGGTTCTTGGGTTAAAGTGTCTTTTTTTCCCCACAATAATCTCTAAGTACATGTGAGTTGGAGAGTCATTAGAGACTCAGGAAAGTCATTGTAGATACAGATTGATTCCTGAGTGTCTTTACTTTCATTATGGTAAAGAATACCTGGAAAACATTTGGAATAGACACAATTACATAGGAAACTGACCTAAAGTTTTTGGTGGGTTTAGTATCCTCTGTTTATTTTTGTTCCCTAATGCAGCTGCTGAAAACCTTAATGGCTGACCCTAGCTTCTTCCCCAGTCTGAACCACAAAGACTGTAGTGTGCTTAGGGACTCTTAGTGCTTAAGCACACAGGGTATCGGGGCACTCTGATATCACTGCATGACTTTTTGAGTTACAGAAATGGTGTGGCTCATTGTTTGTTTCTGGATCATCATTAATTCTTGTGACAACACACACATTTACATTTAGCTGTAACTGTAAAAACCCATTCCTGAGCTCATTTTTGGGAATTCCACCTGCTCTCTCTCTTTTCTGATATGGCTGACAGTGTTGACCATAGATCCCTTCTATACAGGGTGGAGGCAAGAGAAAGTTGAAGGAAAAGACATGTTAGGAGAATGAGAGGCACTCTGCTGGTTCAGGGTATGTGTACATGGCTCAGGGAGTCAGGCTGTGAGTGTGTAGACCTACACTTCCACCTGTGGGGTGTCCCATTCTCAGAAGTCACATCTTGGAGTACTGTTGGCCTCTGGTTTTTGTTTTTTTTTTTTTTTTTGTCATTGTTGTTTTTATTTTTAATTTTATTTAATTATTATTTTTTATCCTCACCCAAGGACATTTTTCCATTTTTTGTTCAGACAGAATGGGAGGGAGGGAGAGAGAAACATTGATGTGAAAGGGACACATCAAGTGGTTGCCACCTGCACGACCCAACCAAGGCTGGGGACAAACTGCAACTGAGGTACTTGCCTTTAGCGGGAACCGAACCCAGGTCTCTCTGGACTGCAGGCTGACACTCTAACTGCTAAGGCAAACTGGCCAGGGCTTTATTTTTTATTTTAGAGAGTGGGGAAGGGAGGGAGAGATAGAAAGAAACAGCAATGAGAGAGAGATACATCCATCAGCTGCCTCCTACACACCCTCTACTGGGGATGGAGTCCGAAACTGGAGCATGTGCCCTGACCAGGAGTCCAGCCAGGACCTCTCAAGTCCATGGAATGATAGGTGCTCAGTCCACTGAGCCACATAGCCGGGCAGCCTCTGTTTTTTCAAACAGATGTTCATTTAGATTTACTGTGGGCTAAGAAGTGATGCACAGAAAGAGAAGATTTCTGCCCTCATCCAGCTACAGTATAACGGGGGAAGACAGGACAAGCATAGAATCCCCAAATAAATGCTAGACCTTTCTTATAACACTAGGAGTCTGACCCGGAAAGGTGGCACAGATTCACAGAATGAATGTTATCTGGTTATTCTTTCCTTGTATCACCTTGTGGACAGCCATTAGACAGTTCTGACCTGGAATTCCTCTCTGTAGTAACTACAGTGTTTCATCTTTGAGTACCCAGCACCTTGCACAACTCCTGGCCTAATGCTGGTTTATGATAAATGGTGGCTGAGTTGTTTTCAGTTTATTTTCCTAACCATCGGCTGAGAAACGCTCTGAGGGAGAGACAGAAACATAACCCTTCTTAGGAAAGCCATGTGTGGTCTGATAGAGGAATCCTTTGGCCTTGGGTTTGACCTCCGTGGTTAGCTGAGCAGCTCCACCTTCTGAAAGTGCAGGTAAGAAATGCCTGTTTGGCTGGGGTGGACATCCACCATGGGGCATTTCCTATTTATTCTAAAGTGTACCAGCTTTATTGAAAGCAGCTTTGGAAGTATAGAGCTCCTATTTGTATCTTGCAATGAGACCAGAAGGCACCAGAAGGACATCCTGTAAGGACACATCGCTTTTCCTACCCCAGGCTAGTCTTCAGAGAAATCAGGACTGAGAGAGAGAGAGAAGAGCCATGTATTTATAGATTTTGTCATCTATGTACAGAGGCTCACAGTTTATTCCCAACGTTTGGTTTAGAATTTTAAGTTCAGTGCTCATATCCTTTTGATGTCCTGGCCAGTAAAAACTCCTGAAGGAAACCATACCCATTTTAGCCAGATTTAAAATAGAAAGAGAGAGGCAAGACTGTTCCTGGTAGTATGGAATAAGGAGAATCTCTGAGTGCATGTCTGTTTTATTGTTTTTTTGTTGTGAGTTATTAACCACCTAACCAGGTGCTTGTTCTGGCTCTCCCTGACTGGCCACCATGAGGCACAACTACTTCATACCCTTCCTTGGGGTGATGAGGACAGCAGAGTTGGGGGAGGAGATGTCAGTAGTCACTGAATGTTTTGTGCCCCATTGTGACTAGTAGTTAAGAACTTGGGTCTGATATCAGAAGATTCATGACCCGGCTCTGCTATTATTAGCAGTGAAGCTTTAGGCAAATTACTTCACCTCTCTGAGCCTCAGTTTCTTCATCTGTAAATTGAGGATAATAATAGCACTTACTTCATAGTGTTCACATGATTAAATTAGGTTGGTCACATAGGTAAAGTATTTAGCACTGTCCATGTTAAAACCTCCTTGAACAGTGGTAACTGCTGTGACACATGCAGACTCTTGTACGCTCACAAGCACTCACACACAGATTTGCCATCTCCTTACTATGGGCATAATGACATCCAATACTATTGCTCTCCTTGTTCAAGGAGGTCCAGGAATAATAGGCAATGTCTGGTTTGTGGATTCCTTTGTGTTAGGAGAATCCTTTTTGTTACTTACGTCTTTATGTAAGAAAAGGGGATATGAAAGACTGAGGGAGGGCACACATGGCAGTGGGTGCCTCTTATAGGGGCTTGCTGTGTCAACTGTGCAGTGCCCAGGTCCTCAGCTGGGGAGCCCTGGGAATCAGGTGTCACCCCAGTACCTTGACTTTGGTGATTGCTCAGACCTCTGTGAGGACATCCTTGTTCAGGGCCACCACTGCCCCTCTGAGGACATTCCTGAGCTGTGAGAACAAGGAGTTCAGAGGACTACCTGGAGGGCTGTATGTAGGACAACCTTGTTCCACCTCTGCTGGAGGCCTGTTGCCCGGGGCTTCTCATTAAGGAAGGTGTCTTAGTCCGTGACCATTCTTTCCTCTCCTATACACTGTGCTTGACTTACATCTCCTAGCATGTTAAAAACATAGCTTAAAATTAAAAATGGTGAGTACAGCCCTGGCTGGTTTGGCTCAGTGGTTGGAGGTCGGCCCATGGACCGAAGAGTCAAGGGTTTGATTCTGGTCAGGAGTATGCACCTCAGTTTTGGTTCGGTACCTGGCCCTGGTTGAGGTCGTGTGGGAGGCAGCCTATCGATGTGTCTCTCTCACATTGATGTTTCCCTCTCTCTTTCTCTCTCTCCCTCCCGCTCTATCCGAAAATAAGTGGAAAAATATCCTCAGGTGAGGATTTTAAGAAAAAAATGTTGAGTGCAGGTCTAATAATCTAACTCATAACAAAAGCTTGCCTTCCCTGCCTAGTGTTTGGTAGATCTTTAAAATGATGTATTTGTATAGCAGAATTACTCTTGTTAGTCTTAGCTTGGGCCCTAAAGAAATAGGGAGCAGCTTCCCTTTTTCAGGAGCATTTGGAGTTAGATGCCCCCAGATGGGGAGATCTTGCCCAGTGACATACCCGGTCCTTTGCTACTGTTGTTACAGATAAGAAATATGTCTGGGATTCTGAGAGGCAGTGAATCCTTACCCAAGTATCCCAAAGACGTGCACATGTGTGGAGTGTGGAAGGTGGCTGGTTGGTCTTGTCATTGTTCTTCACCTTCTTAGAGCTGGTGGCATGGTGGTTAAAAGCCTGGGCTTTGGAGTTCGACCTCTTGGGTTCTTCCTCCCATTTACTCTGTGACCTTGGGCAAACCACCTAACCTTTCTGTGACTCCTATTTCTTTGTTTTGTCCATCTGAAATTTACCTATAAGGTCATTCTAAGGATTAAATGAGCTCATGTTGAAGCTTTGTGGCCTGGCCAGGAAGGCATCTGTCGGGCTATATTTTTGTTACAGTTATTGAAATGAAGACAGCTGGTGATTGTCTGGCTCTGTTTCTTATTTCCCTCAGTGGGTTAGTGACTCCAGGGGCAGTTGGGATACTAAAGTGCTGAGTGGCCTGTTTGCTTCAATCATCTGAAAAGGCGAGGCAGCCTTGGTCACCTGGGGAGCTGTCCTCTCTCCTTTCGGATGGCACTTGGTGGCTTCTTGAGTGTGGAGTTCTTGGGTGGGCCAGGTGGGGGTAGGCGGGGCCTGGGATGGAACACCTGGAGGTGTGGGCCCTTGACCCCAGTTTTTTCTGCTGTTTGTGCCCAGGTGGCAGCACCATGGATAGCTCCGCAGGAGGCAAGGCTAGGCCTGAGGCTGGGGAGGACAAGGAGGGATTCCTTTCCAAACTTAAGAAAATGTTTACCTCCTGATACCCAGCCGAGGTAGGAAAACCCTTGAGGTTTCTCCCCTTTGTTTCCCTCTGTAAACTAATCCATGTTTTCCCTTACTTTAACCAATTTTATGCCCTTGTGCCCCCGGAGTTGGAAGAGGTACCAGTCTCAGGCATGGTGTATCTGGCTCCCCTTGAAGCCAGGCCTCTTGGCCCATGGAAATACCTGCGTTAGGTGACATGGCAGTCAGTGGCAGTGCAGGGCTGAGCTAGGCTACAGGGAGAGACTGCACTGGGAGCTGTCTCCCAGCCATCCCTCCACCAGCTCCCAACGGCACTGCATCCCACAGTGGTGGGAATCAGGTTGCCCACAGTCATAGAGGGCAAGTCATAGCAGAGCCAGACTTAGAACTCAGATCTCCCCAACTCCCCACCTGTTTCATAGCACCTGTCTTGCCTGGGGATGTAGGGCCATGTAACCTCCGGGGGCTGCCAGGAGTTGTGCTTGGTAATTGGGTTCTTGGGGCCGACTTTTTACTTGTGCGGGTTCCTGGTGGCTGGGGCTCCTGGCATAGCTCCTTCCCAGGGATGATAGAAGCCCACTCATTGGAGTATGCTGTTCTTGCAATGCCAGTAAACTATAACCATTTGTGTCTTGGCTCAGGAAAACGGTCCACTGGAAACTAAGCCAGGAGCAGCGGCCCCTCCTTGTGGCCAGGGCAACTTGGAGACAGGAGGATTCCAGAACAGCAGCATCGAGCCCTGCCTGCACAGGCCCTCTGGATGGACTGCCTTGGCAATAGCAAAATCATGTGACAACACACCTCTCCACAGAATGGTCATGGTGGACAGCCCCTGGGAAGTAAGGGGTGGCATGCCTAAGGGCTGGTAGAAGTTTCTTGTCCACAGGTGTAACTCAGCCTCTTATGGCTCAGACAGAGTAGGACATCTCGACACTTCTTGTAGAGCCAATACTCTAATTTGGAATCAAATGTGGTGGAAATCTTAGTAAAAAATGAAAGGCCATGCTTACAGCTTAAAAATGAAGCCTGAAGCTGCACCAAGTTGTGAAGTGATTACTTTCCCTCTCATCAAACCTCTGGGAGGTTCTGGAATGAGGCTTTCCTGGCAGGTTGTTTTTTTCCAGGAACTTGGGGCCTGCAAGCCCCCTGATCCCAGTATTGTGTACCCCTCAGTAAGGTGTTCCTTGCTCTTCTTAGAGTTTATTTTAATTCCCAAGGGTACCAAGCAACTGGAACATGGGGACCTGGGGAGGCACACACAGAGAGTCCCTGGAGATGCTGCTCCTGAGGTGGGCCGTGATCTTTGTCAGGACGGACAGTTCTCCCTCCCACTCCACTGGGGTGGCCTCTTGTCTATGACTGTTGAGTTCTGTTTTTGGAAGCCACTTATGAGTGGGACTCCTGCCCTTCTGCTGGACCACAGCCATCCCTGGCCACAGCCTGGCTACCAGCCTCCTTATCCCAGAGCCTTACCCCCACTGCCTGCCACAGCTTGGCTCTCACCACTTACACTGTTGACACCTGTTTTCAAAAGTGTGTTTAAATTATTTAATACTAAGGATCGTCGTCTTTTCCTGTATAAATGTTTGTTCAGAAAAAGAAAGCACAGTCTAAGCAGTTGAAGGCTCTCTACCATCCAGCCAGAGCAAAACAGTTTTCCCCATGTCAGCTTCTAGAATGTGTAGATTCCACATGTTTTCAGGCCATCCGATTGTGGTAAGACAGGCTAATGGAGAACACTTCTGAATAGTTTCCTTTTTGTTTTCCTTATAATTTACTTAAATAAAGCATCTATTAGTGTCTGATCTACGAATGTAAAAAGGTTCTGTATCAATGTAAAAGATGATCTACTGCAAAAATATATTTAAAACCTACGTTGTGTTCACTTCTTCTTTGAAAGAGTTCAAGCAGCTTTCTACAGGTGGCTTAGCGGGGTCTTATATGGTGTACATCTGCAGATCAGGTTGCCCAAGTTTCTGCTGGCCTTCCTAGAGGTGCCTGGCCTTGTCCACAGAGTCATGCCTGCCTAAGAGCACACTCACACTGATGGAGGGGTGGTGTTTTGACCAGCGCTGACCCTCTCAAGCCCAGATCCCAGAACAGGGAGCTTGTCATGGGACAATGTGCTGATTTGAATGAATGTTCTAGAATTTGGTGGGTAGTTTCTTTGGGAGCCTGTGCCATAAGAGATGTACAGTGTGGCCTCCTACATCATTGACTCCTTGCTAGACTATTTTTCCTTCCATTATTTTCAGAGGAATATTCATTTTTTGTTGTTAATCCTCACCTGAGACATTTTTCCATTGATTTTTTAGAGAGAGTAGAAGGGAGGGAGGGAGAAAAAGAGAGAAACATCGATGTGAGAGAAGCACATTGATCGGTTGCCTCCTGCACGACCCTGACGGGCCGGGGATCAATCCAGGTATGTGCTCTTGACCAGAAATCAAACCCTTGGTCTGCGGCCAATGCTATAACCACTGAGCCAAACCGGCCAGGGCTTAACATATTTTTTTGTGTTAAAATTTCTGCTCATGTAGCTTGACTAGTCTGGGCTCCCAGCAGAGACTGTGGCGCCCCAGTGCTGGCACAGTTTGAGTGGTCTCCAGGCACATCTCTCAGACCAGCCCCTGGGTTCTAAGCTAAGCAACTGGAGGTGTGAGCACACTTGCTGGTTTGGATGAAGAGGGTGGGAAAGACCTCATGGGCAAGAAAGGGGCTCAGCAGTGACCTGCCAGTTTCAGATATGTGTCCTTTACTCAGCAGATATTTATTGAGTACCTGATGTGGACTCAGCATGGGCCCCTTCACAGGCCTGGACCCAGGTACAGCAGCAGGAAGCTAGATGAGCATCTTGTGACAGCTTAGTTTTCCTCCTGGAGAAGTCAGCTGAGTCCCACTCACGTTCTATCTTTTGAAAGCAGAGGTCTAGAGGAAGATTTGGAAAGAGAAAAGTAAATTTTCTTGCTAGCAATACCATTATTGCTGTACTCGGGGTTCTCCCCACCGATGTAGGAAGGTGGCAGTGTAAATCTAGCATCAAGTCCCACTCAAAGCTTGGATTAGGTTTAATCCCACAGCTGGCATTTGTCACCAGACAATTTGCAGCCTGAGTTGAGGCTGGAGTGTGAAATGAGGCATTTAAAAATACAAAAAAAAAAAAACAACAAAACAAAACAAAAAAAACCCTGGCTGTTTTTGCTTAGTGGTTAGAGCATGGGCCCATGGACCAAAGAGTCGCAGATTTGATTCCAGTCAAGGGCATGTACCTCAGTTGCGGTTTGGTCCCCGACCCTGGTTGTCATGTGGGAGGCAACCAATCAATGTGTCTCACATCGATGTTTCTCCCTCTCTCCCTCCTTCTCACTCTATCTGAAAATCAATGGAAAAATATCCTCAGGTGAGGATTAGAAAAAAAAAAATGCAAAAAAAAAAAAAAGTATCTCTAGGCCCCTGAGCCTTTGGGGATTGAGAGGATGGGGAAAGATAGATGGGCGTTGAGCATTTGCTGAAATATTAGGAGTATGGATTAGGGAAGGCACATGGGGATGAGGCAGACTTGGGCACTGGCCCTTGTCTCCATCCCCACCTGCAGGCCTGTTGTGATTTTTTTCCCACCTGAGCCATCCTCCTCCTCCTGAAGCCTTTGAGTTCTGGTGGACTTGAATGCAATGTTACTTCCCTGTCATGAAACTCCCCCTCTCAATGCACAAGAATCTCTCTAGTCCCACAAGCCTGTCAGCTGCTCTGACATCCCGGGACTGCCCTGCCCTTTCCTCTGTTCTGTAATACTGGAGCCCATCACTGAACTGAATTATATCTGCTGTCATGGCTTTTTCAGGAGGTATATAGCACTCTTGTTAATAAATACTGTGCAACTTGAACTTTAATCTTTTAACCAGAAGTTCTGCTTATTTGGCATGATCGTTGTGAAGGGTCACACATGGGCCAGTCAAGGAACTTTACATAAAGTGGGCCCTAGCCAGTGTGGCTCACTCATCAGAGCATCAGCCCACATACCAAAGGATTGTGGGTTCAATTCCCAGTAAAGGGCACATACCTGGGTTGCGGGTTTGATCGGCACCCTGGTCCAGGCATGTGCAGGAGGCAGCCATCTACATGTCTCTTTTGTATCAATGTTTCACTCTCTCCCTCTACTCCCCTGTCTCCCTTCCACTCTATAAAAATCAATGGAAAAATATCCTCCAGTGACGATTAAAAAAAAAACAAAGTGGGCTCTGACCTGCAGCTGCAGTGCCTGGGAGACAGCAAGGAGAGGTGAAGACTGTGGCTGCCGTGTTTAAAGGGGACAGCCACTCTTCAGCTCCATCCAAGGCAGGGCAGGGGGCTGGCTATGCATGAATTGAGACCCAGTGCTGCCATATATTCTGGTGTTTTTGAAGAGAAGCTGGGCATCCAGATGTTTTTTAATAGACTTTTTTTAAAGATTGAATTTTAGAGAGAGGAAGGGGGAGGAGAGAGAGAGAAACATCAATCGGTTGCTTCCTGCATACACCCCAACCGGGGATCAAACCTGCAACCAGGGTATATGCCCTGACTGGGAATCAAATCCGCCACCTTTTGGCGTATGGATGACACTCCAACCAAATGAAGCAGACCAACCAGGGTGGCATCCAGATTTTTGAGGTAACAGCTTTATTGAGATATAATTTACATACTATTCAATTCATCTTTATTTTATTTTTAATTTTTTTTTCTTTTTTGCTTTTTAGAGAGACAGGAAGGGAGATGGAGAGAGAGATAGAAACGTCAATGAAAGAGAACACTGGCCACCTGCTGCATGCTCCCCACTGGGGATTGGACCCACAACCTAGGCATGTGCCCTGACCAGGAATCAAACTAACGACCTCTTGGTGCATGGGTCGATGCTCAACCACTGAGCCACACCAGCTGGGCTCAATTCATCTTTAAAATGTACAGTTTTGTGGGTTTTAGTTCAAGGTTGCACAACTATTACCACTCAATTCTAGAAAATTTTGATTACCTCAAAGAGAAATTCCATGTCCATTAGCAGTTACTCCATTTTCTCCCAAGTCCTTCAATCTCTGGCAACCACAAATCTACTTCCTGTTTCTGTGGCTTTGCCTGTTCAATGCATTTCATCTAAATGGGGTCATATAATATGTGACCTTTTGTGGTTCTTTTCTCATTTCATTTAGCATAATGTTTCAAGGTTTATCCATGTTGTAGCATGAATCAATACTTCATTTCTTTTTATGGCTGAAGAATATTCCATTGTATGAACAGACCACATTTCTTTCCCATTCATTCACTGATAGACATTTGGGTTATTTCCATTTTTTTGCTATTATCAATAATACTGCTATGAATGTCTCATTTTAAATGTTTTTATTGACTTTTTAGAGAAAGAGAGGAAGGGAGAGACAGAAACATCGACTTGAGAGATAAACATCAATCAGCTGCCCCCCGCACCCCCCCCCCCCCCCCCAGAGATTGAGACCGCAACCTGGGCATGTGCCCTGACCGGGAATCAAATCAGGACCTCTCAGTCCCTGGGACAAATTGTTTTGTTTCTCTCTAAAAAAACAATAAAAACGTGTGTGTGTGTGTGTGTTTTATTTTAATTAATGTATTTAATGCCCTTGAACTGTACATTTAAAAATGATTAAAATAACCCTGACCAGTGTGGCTTGGTTGGGCATTGTCCCATGTACCAAAAGGTTGCTGGTTTGATTCTTGGTCAGGACACATGCCCGGGTTTCTGGCTAAATCCCCAGTATGGGGTGTGCAGGAGGCAGCCTATTGATGTTGCGCTCTCACATCGATGTTTCTCTTTCTCTTTCTTCTTCCTCTCTCTCTACAAATCAATAAAAGTATTTTTTAAATGACTAAAATAGTAAGTTTTATGTTATGTTTATTTTACCACAACTAAGAAAATAAAAAACAAATGATGGCAGCTAACTGATCTATTTCAGGGACCAAACTTCAGACCAGACACACATGGCAGTCCCCCTGATTAGGACTTGTGCTGGGCACACCTCAACCAGTAGGACGATGTGGTGGCACTGGGAGTCATCCCCTCATGTGGTGTGACCCTCATGTACTTTTTTACTGGAGTGATTCGAAGTTGGGACAGGGCCATACTGGTCTAGGCAGGGCACCTGATTCAACATCCAGGATAGGCAAAGGGTCCTTATTTCCAGCCACATTTAGTTATTGCCAAGAGACAAGGTAATCAGGTGGACACAAATGTCTATTATAGGTCAAATGGTTGAAAATATTAGGGTTTTTTTGTTTTTTTTTTTTATCCTCACCCGAGGACATTTTTCGACATTTTGTTCAGATAGAGTGGGAGGGAGAGAGAGAGAGAGAAACATCGATGCGAAGGGACACATCGAGTGGTCGCGACCCAACCAGGGCCGGGGACAAACTGCAACCGAGGTACGTGCCCTTAGCAGGAACCGAACCCGGGTCTCTCTGGACCGCAGGCCGACGCTCTAACCGCTGAGCCAAACCGGCCAGGGCGGGTTTTTGTTTTTTAATAGACTTTATGCCCCCTGCCCCCACACACATACAGGAAACCTCCCCCTATTATCAACACAATTGTATATGTTATAAATATTGAAACTACATTGATACATTATAATCACCTGGGTCCATGGTTTACATTAGGGTTCACTCTTGGTGTTGTACATTCTGTGGGTTTGGATAAATGTATAATGACATGAATCTACCACTGTAATATCACACAGAGTAGTTTCACTGCCTAGGATTTGAGGGGAGGGTTTGTTTTTTTTAATCCTTACCCGAGTACATTTTTCCATGTTTTGTTCAGATAGAGTGGGAGGGAGAGAAAGAGAGAGAAACATCAGTGCGAAAGGGACACATTGAGTGGCTGCCA